GGCGCTCAACCGACTCATGAAATGCTACAGAGTACCCAGCAACCTCACGGTAAAAACATTTGCCATTGTCTAGTAGTATTTTTGCACGTGTCTTTTTAAGCGGTTTGATTTGGCACGTGAACTCTTCTTGCCCTTTTATAATTAATGGCTGCGTGTGTATTTGGGTATCCACCTACAAGATGGGAAGAGATAGAGGATGTTAGTCGTATACTCAAGCATCCATTGATTCTAAACGCGTTTTAGTCATGTTTAAAAGAGGGTTAATTATATATAGAAAACTCCAATCAACCTTTGAAGAGTTGCAGTAAATTCCTATCAACTTTTTATTTAGTCTAACTTCTGAACTATGAGAGTTATTGCATATAACCCCCATTAACTATTTTATTTCATCAAAGTTTACCCGGAGATTTATCTTTTCATCCTTAAATTAGCATAATCAACTGTAACGTCGTCACTGACAAGCATATGATAAAAAAAGTTTAAAAAAATTCTTCTTAGTCCCAAAAGTTACTCTTTTATAAAATAGAAAGATATGTAATTTTTTTAGGATTGAGAAATTATTTCCATCCTTTTTTATTGGCACATGCTTGCCACATGAGATGTTAGAATAGATTGTGCTGATTTGGAGATCAAATGAGAATTTTTTAAAGTAAAATTGAGTAAAATAAAATAATTCATGGAGATTATGTACAACAATTCGTGAAGTTCAAGGGGCTTTTGTGTAAAAAAGATGATGGGTGTTTACTGCAACTCTCTTAAAGTTTGTGGGTGTTTTCTGTGATTATCCCTAAAAAAAATAAGATGCTCAAAATGTTTTATTATTGCAAAAGACTTCCGCGTCTATCATGGCGATTCTTCTTATTAATTCGTTAGTGAGCGGTACGTGCACGCATGGATTCTAATCGAAACAATTTTGTTTTGAATTTCATTCATGTTTTTGAAATAAAACCATGGCAAACTTTGTTTTTTAAGATAAACTTTGACTTTCCATTGAAGAACACCGTAATTGAAACCAAAATAAACTTATAAATTAAGAATGAAAAACAACTGTAGTACCGTTGCAGAAGCGACCAAGCTTTATGGGTATTTTGCAAAAATACTTCCCAATATCCAAACTTTAGGGTGTGGGGGGGGGGGGGGGGTTGCTAAAAATTAACGCATTTTGTTGACAATTTTAACATTGCAATTACAAATTAGCTTATCAAAGTTGATGATTAATTACTTTGAGGGTAATTTTTTTTAAAATCAAAGATTTGAAGGGTAGTTTTGCAAATATTGAAATTTAGAGTGTATATTTGTAAATACCCATGATTTAAGGGTTGCAAACTACCTTATAATGTATTGAATAAGCTTTAGAAAAATTTCATATCGAAATTTCAACTAACACGTGTTATTTGGCTTCTAAAAAAAAACCTAGACCATGGCACATTTCATTAGAGCTGAGGGCCTGAGGCTCTCAACGAGCGCACGTGCGCCAGGCAATCGCTGTCACATGAGTGGGAGCGTCGAAGCTGCAACGCATTGACCGAGAGAGCAGCATCTCCTTCGTCGGTTGACGTCGCGTGTTGGAGAACATGCTCCGATGCTGTTTTCCATTCTCATTCTCCTCCGTTTTAGGAGCCGTTGCTTCTGTGCAATTTAGCCCAGAAAATAAAGAAACTCAAAGCATATGATAGATTGGACGTAAACATCATTGCATAATGCTAACTAGCAAGAAGAATATTCTATAAATTTAAGTGGACTAAAGAGTTTTGTCAGCTAACTTTTTCGTTCTTGATTTGCTCTGAGGCACGTGTCAATATGCTATGTGCATTGAGGACATTTCCTCTCGAGACTCGCCCCACGTCAGCATGAATCTCCAAGCAAATCCAATCGATAAAAAGTTGTGGACAACATCCTAAGTTCATTTAAGTTTATATGTGGTTGCTCATTATCAACAATCCCCACATTTAGGGGCACATTTGGTCCGGATACGGCTCGGATATGATACCTATCATATTCATATCCGCTTACTCATAACGGATACGGATAAGATATACATCGGTAAGAAAAATTCATATCCATATCCGCTAAAATAAGATAGATATACAAATATATAAGCGGATATGTATGAGGCTACAAAACGGATAAGAGAAAACTAGATAATATTTTAAAAAATATATATACTTCATGTGATACAAAAGAGTTCATTAGTATGTTCATTATATCTGAGAAGTTAAGATTAGACATATTGATCATCAAAATTATCCTTAAATCCACAATCTAAGGATTAAAACTATTATAATAGTATGACTAATATGTATTCGGATATTTCGAATACAGATCCGAATATTTCACTATAAAACCATATTCATAAGCATTTCCTACCGATTATAGGATATGGTTACAGATATTTTCTCGAACACGGATAAGATCTAGCACCCCTACCCACATTTGTTAGCCAGTGGGGTTGCCGGTCATTTCCCGCAGAAATGCGTGTGGGCCTAGATGGTCCAATAATGTACCAAAGCTTGGACACAAAAAGTTGGGTCCACAGGCCCAGTTCTCTTACTAGTCTAGAACCAAATATACATCAGCCCAAATGAAGCCCATTAAACAATCGTTCTCACTCCGTCGAACCTCCCACCCAGCAAAATTCAACTCCTCTTGCCAAGATGATGCGTCTCCTCCTCCGCTCTCACTCCCCGAAAACCCTAACCCTAATCTGCCCTTTCTCCACCCACCCCCGCCCCAAAAAACCCACAAAGGAAAACCTCAACTCTCCTCCCTTCAGCAATCCGACCTCGACAACGCCATCTAACCCTCCCCTCTCGCTTCACCCCTCCGACCTCACACACCTCCTCTCCGCTCACCCAGCCCCTCCACCTCTGCTTCCACCTCTTCAATTGGGCCCAAACCCACCCCGCTTCAAACCTGACCCGGCCCTCTTCCACCTCACCATCAGAAACTGGGCCGCGGCCCGTCTCGTCCCAGAGCTCACTCCGTCGCCTCCCTCGCCCTCTCCTCCCTCCCCCCTCCTCCCTTTATTCAACACCATCATCTACTTCTTCGCTGAATCTCGCGCCCTCTCCAAAGCCATCTACGTCTACAAGCTTATGCTCAAGTCACCCGACCCAAATGCGAGACCGAACATCGTCACCTACAATCTCCTCTTCAATGCCCTCCTTGGAAAAGGATCCAACTCCTACATCCACCACCTCTACATGGACACAATCCGGTCCCTATTCCGGCAAATGATAGACTCCGGAGTGAAGCCCGACATAACCGCATTGAACTTTGTCGTGCGTGGGTATGTGAATTCGATGCATTTGAACGATGCGTTGAGGGTGTTCCATCAATTTACCCTGGTATATGGGGTGGAGCCGGATGAGAATACTTATGGGTATTTGGTGCACGGCCTTTGTGCTCAAGGGAGGACGAAGAATGCGATGGAGTTGTATGGGGAAATGAGGGGGAAGCGGATGGGGTTGGGGGCGAGGGCGGGGAATTCGTTGGTGAGCGCGTTGGCGATGGGAGGGGAGGTGGAGGAGAGTGTTAGGGTTTTGTGGGAGGTGGTGAAGATGGGGAAAGTGGTGGAGGTGATTACGTGTAGGACAG